GGGATGCCCGGGGGAATGAGATAGGGGGCTGGGCCAGAAAGATCCTGGTTCAGAGCAGGGCACCGCGGGAGCCAAGTCACAGGACAGGCAACTGTCTTCATCTGTCAAGATCTTGGGACAAAACCACCTCCACATGATTTCCTGACTCTGTCAGCTTTTCCTAGTTTCTGGGTCACAAACTTCACTGATACAAGACATTGCCCTATTGTATTAGAGACCCATACATTGTTTTTTTTTTTTTCACTTATGACTTTTTAAAAAGAGCACGTGGAGTGTGGAATGTCAAAGCTGGATAGGACTCAGAGACCAGAAATCTGAATACGATTTCATAGATGAGGAGACTGGGATCCACGGAGGTCTGTGACTTGCGGGACGTTCTGTGAGCTTTTAGCCTGGAGCAAATCTGGAGATCAGGATTCTGACCCCCACGTTCCGTAGGGAACGGGGAAGGCTGCACCAACACAGGCCACAGCTGGAGCTGAGCTCTTCCATGTGGGGTTTCTCTCCTCTGACCGTCTCTCTCCCAGTGGGTGCTGGCCTTGATTGGACTCCCTGGGTTGTGGTCTCTCCCTTCTAAGCTGGGATCTGCTCCAGCCTCTGAGTTCCTTCCTGCCCAAGATGACCAACCCTTTTCCCGGTAAGCACCCCCCTCCCCAAGATGATGACAGGGAAAAAAAATGTGATGAGGAGCCCACAAAACAAAAGGGCATCTCTGAGGCTAATTTTAGGCTTTCATAGGCTGCAAGGACACTGCCTTAGGGTCAGGAAGGGGCAGGGGCCCCAGATTCCTAGCTGTGCTGTGACTAAACCCTCAAATGGCCAGACCTAGAACACACACACACACACACACACACACACACACACTCTCTCTAGCAGTGATGACTGTCCCATCCCAGCCTTCATCTGGACACTGGCACTTCAGTACCAAGAGGCTCCCGGCCTTACCAGTAAGATTTAAATTTTTACAGTTTTAAACACACTCTCCCCTCCACTCAGTTTTCATTGAAAGAGCCATTAAAACATCAAAAATTATTGATAAGAAGTCTCTCCCCTCTAAAGAATAAATCCTAGGCCACCTGTAAGTATTCCCTTTTTCAACACAAGAGCAAGCCACCATGCCATGTCTTACTCTATCCCTGTCCGGGGTTCTCAGCCTTGGCTACACACAGAGTGGTCAGGGACCCCAGCGAGGTGTGGGGGTGGCAAGATGTTCACCTCCTCCCCAACCCTCGGCAGAGCTGTTGGAAGAAACAGGGAGAGGATGGGGCAGCAAGCACACCCTGGAGAAGACGGTGAGGACCATTGCAGGCTTCTGCCCGCAGCCGCCGGCATCTTCTGAGGACGCGGGCACCTTCCTAGCGGCCTGCGTCCAGCCATGGTGACTGTGGCCGTGAAGGGGGCAGGGCAACAAGTGAAAGAAACCAGCCGCTCGGTGAGATGAGCGGGGATGCTAGCTGCGGTGGGTCATGTCTTCGTTCTCATCACAATTCGGTTCACGGGAAACTCCCGGAATGTCTTTATCCATCACAGATGGTTTGGGGAGATGATAAATTAATATCGTTTAAATGGAGGCATGGCTTAAATGGTTAAATGGTAACGTCTTCTTCTGCCGGCTCTAAAGAGAAAGAGCCCCCGAGTCCATAAAGAAGACAAATGGTAAACAAAACCGCCTATCTTTTGACAGATTCCAAGACAAGTATCATTCACACACCATTCTGCGGAGAAAGGGGGAAATTCATCTAGTCTGACTTTGTATAGGACAACGGTCCGCGCCATAATGAGGCCTTCCCAGTGCTGTGAAATCGTGCTGAATAGCCGGAGAGTGCAGCCGCCTGTTCCCTGGGCATGTTGATTACGGTCTTTTGTACGCACCAGCCCTGCCAGCCCCGGTCTGGTTCTACACTAGGGGAGGGGAGAAAGAACCCAGCAAATGTGTTGCTATGAAACTTCCCAAATGGGGGGACGGCATGATGATGTTTGGGATGGAATGCCCTTGCTCCAAGCTGTTCTTGTCTGGGTCCACCCCTGCTCTCAACTGAACAAGATCGGGAGTCAGCCAATCACCAGCAGTGTATGGGTGGCCTCAGCACCCCCGCCTGGAGCTCCTCCCAGGCCCCGGGAAGCCAGAGGGTAAAGAGGCCCCATGGCTATTTCCAAGCACTCTCAGGTCAATGGCCAACTTGAGGCAAGAGGCACTCCCAGTTCCCCATTAAGTGCATCTGAAACAGAGCAAAGCAGGGTAGCCTTCATCTGAGGGCTCGATGGTGGGGGTGCTTCCTCACCTACACAATTTTGGAAGCCCCTGAGAGCAAACCATCAGAGATCAAGATACTGGAACCAAACGCTTCCACAAAGGGAACCACTTCCCTAAATCATACGGCCCTAGGGAGACAAGACAGCAGACTCCGTGGGCAGGGGGTGGGAAAGGGAGGATGGGGTGGTGATGGAGAGACCCCTGTCTGAAGATCTCAAAGGTACACATCCCCTTGCTGGCATCTGAACTCTTACAGCTGGTTCCCGCCAAGATCTCATGGTCTTCCTTTGATGGGAAGTGTTCTGTGGGACAACTGCAGATTCAAACTTCCCACATCCCCTAAGGGGGTGACGCCAGGAATAGGAATGCTGAGGGGAAAGATTTGAACTTTCAAGAGATGCCTTTCTTCACCAATGAAATGGCAGGACCTTTCAGGCCATATTCTTCTTCTCACCAATTAGAGAGCCGATCTTTCAGACATTGTCTTTTCTCACCAATCACGAAGCAGGGCCCTTCCAGCAATGCTTTTCCTCACCAATCAGGAGGTGGGATCCTTGAAACTTTGTCTTTCCTCACCAGTCAGGAGGCTCTGAGGGTCCCACACCTTCCTGCCATGTTTCCCCAGAAGGCTAAGCAGGTGTTCTTCTGAGCAGATTTCATCCTTGTATTTCTCCTCTTTATGAGCTTTTCTCCCAGGGTTCCCACCAAAGCAGCTGCTGTCCAGGGCTGGGGGGCTGGCCACAGCATTTGAAATAAGACAGGACCACACCCTTGTCTGCCTACATCTGTCCCTCCTGGAAAACAGCAATGGGAGCCGGCATCTCCATACCATTTAACCAGAGTGGCAGAGCCCCAGAGGATGGTCTGCAGGTTCCCAGGACCCTTTAGGCTTCGTGACATCTCACTCCAACCAGTGAAAGGCCCTGTCCCTCCCCACAACAAAAGAGGAAAGGGAAGGGAGGCAGATGACAAGATGACCAAGGCCCTGCTCCTTCCTGACTCCCCAAGGGACATGCCATTCCTGCTCCAACAGCAGAAACTGGCACAGCAGGAAGTGACCACTGGCCTTTCAGGCAGAGTCCAGCCAGACCTTCTCCACGGGCACAGGGCTGCCCACCTGAGTGTCTCTGTTGATTAAAATTTCTTGGCCAAATTCCCAAGAAATCTGTGTGCAACCAGTTGTTTACATGACTCTGACTTCAATTTCTTCTGAAGAAAAGGGACAACAAACACTTAGGCACAGGCAAAGGCACTGGCTACCTTCCAACTATATTCTCTGAATACCCAAAGTCCTCCTTCCCTGGTGCCCTTGCCTTCCTGCCACTGGAGACGTTTCTTGGGTCTCTTTGCCCAGGTCACCTTCTCAGTCGCCAAAGTCTCCTGGGGTTTTCTCACCTGGATCAGTTGTTTGTTTTAAGGTGGAAACAGCCCCGCTACCTTTATGCTTAAATTTCTCTCGGCAACCACCAGAGGCAGCCTTAAGGAATCTGGAAGGAAAGCTTGCTCCTATGTTGGGAGCCACCCTATTCATCGCTGCTGATTTGGCATCCAAGGGATTTCTCCTGAAGGAGAAAGAGTGGGAACCTGTTTTTTGGAGAAAAGCGTCCTGCACAAGCAGGGCTGGCTTCACAGGCCCCACACTCAGAAGGCCACATGCTGGGTTGAAGCTCTGATTGCTATTTTGAAATTCTTAGCAATTCCTGAACAAGAAGCCTCGTATTTTCATTTTGCACTGGGGCCTATGAATTATGTAATCGGTCCTGCACACAAGTGCCCAACATCTGGTGGATTTCCTGTTAAGATGATACTTTGGCTTCATCCAAGGCTAAGGGGTGGCCTTCTCTCCTGCAGCTCATCATCTGGGCCTAAGTCTGCCATGGCTTGGGTCTCTTCCATGTCAGGGTCTTTACAGGCCCATGTTAGGCCCCTATCGATGCTGGCTTGTGGCCCAAGAGCCCTCAGACATAAACAGCTGCTCGGGAAGCCACGCTCACAGCAACCCCTGGCTCTAGGCCCCAAGTTTTGGACCCAGAGAGCCCTGGTTCCTGGAATTCCCAAAAGCAAATGTAGGGTGGGGGGTGGGGGGCCCTTCTCCCCTCCCCCAACGTCACTAAATCCCCTGGCATTTCATCAGCTGCTCTGAGTCATCTGACCATTGCCTCATTTTGGTTAGTGGGAGAAAACAAACTGCATAAAGTTAAAACATTAATGCTTGCTTCAGTGAACGAAAATAGAGTCGTCCCTCCCCACCCCCGACCCTCCCCTCGTTTAATTTTTTTGTCCTGAGAAGTGAAACTATTTGCAGGTGGGTTAAATGTTCCTTCTGAGCCCCTGCCCCCGAAGATGCCGACATCACTGCGAAGGCGCGCATCTGTGCAAGGGTTGGTGGGGCTGGAGGGGGGAACGGGTGTGCACACATCCAAAGAAATGCGTCTGCGTGGTTTCGTGAAAGAGAGCCCTTTGTGCCAACGGTAAGCCCGGTGAACCTGACCCCCGCCCTGTGGTATGCGGCACACCTGTGCGGACGGAGGGGGCGGGGCGGGGCGGGCGCCCTGCGCCCTCGCAGGGATCACACCTCCTTTCTTCTCCCGGAGCTATTTCTCCACCGCCTCTTTGTTCCCACTTACACCTCCAAATACCCGGGAGGCGTGCGTGCGTGCGATGATCTCGAGTGGGGACTAGGAAGTTGGGGGACAGGGGAGAGCGGAGAGAGGGAGGGGGCGGCGCGCGGCCCCGCCCCGCCTACCTTTGCAGGCCTTGCGGTGGGTGATGGGCTTGCCCAGGTCGCGGTAGTAGCCCTCCTTGCAGTAGTGGCAGTGGCGGCCCGCCGTGTTGTGGCGGCAGTTGAGGCAGACGCCCCCGCTCTTGCGCCCCGACAGCTTGTAGAGCTCCATGTTGAAGCGGCAGCGCCGGGCGTGCAGGTTACAGTTACAGGCTGCGGGAGGCAGGGACAGGGGTCAGGCAGGGGCGCGGGAGGCCCGTCCCCCCAGCTCCCCCGCCCCCACTGCCCGCCAGCCAGGCAGTCTTCCCTCCCGCAGCTTTGCCTGGGCTCGCGTTTGCATCCGTCAGCACGGATGGACCACCAGAGAGTACCGGAGCCGTCGCCAGGTGCCCATTTCCCTCTCAAATGCAGACGGTTCATTTCCTTCAAACTCCCCGCCTCCTCCCCCTTCCCATCACACACGTCAGAAGCTTGGGCATCTTCCTTGTGCCCAAATCCTGCTTGTTAAAGGCTGAACTGTGCCCCCCGCGACCCCCCATTCATAAGCTGAAGCCCTAACAGGAACCACCGGGTATGACTGTAGTTGGAGATACCTTGGAGAGGACCTACCTTGGAGATGGGGCCTTTAAGGAGATGACTAGATTAAAATCAGGACATTAGGGTGGGTCCTAGTCCAATCTGACCCGTGTCCTCTTTTTATAAGGAGGCAATTTGAATACACAGAGAGACAGCGGAGTGCACATTCAGGGAGGAAAGACACTATAAGGACACAGGGAGGCAGCCATCTGCCCGCCAAGGAGAGAAGCCTCAGAAGAAACCAACCCTGCCCACAGCCTGATCTGGACTCCAGCCTCCAGAATTGTGAGAAATAAAGGCGTGTTAGTTAAGCACCCTGGCCAGGGGTGTTTTGTCATAGCAGCCCGAGAGACGCGTGCATCTGCTCCCAGCCTCACCTCTGCCCTCACACACTCCTGACTTCCATGAGTTCCCGCCACCGGGCTGGACTCTCCTTCTCCCAGTCCTCCCAACACGGAGGACTCAGGGCCCTGCTGCACCATCTTCCCTCCCACCATCAACTTGGGCGACTTTCCATGGCATGGGGGTCCACGCTTCTGGCCGCAGGGTCCTCTGGACAGGCCCCCAACTCCCTTCTCCCTGGGCTGCCTCCGGCCCAGTCCTGCCTGCCTCTGCCTGTACCCCTTCAACTCAGTACCCTTTTCCCTCTGCTGGGATGCTCTTCCGGGCAGGCCTCGTTCATCTCCATGGCAGTGACCACCTCTGGGCTCCTGATTCCCTAGTGTATGTTTTCAGTTTCTGCTCTGGGGTCTCCTCCTGGCCCCAGAAGCGCCTCCTCTAAACCCACTCACTGCTCTCCCTCCGTCAGGCCTCAGCCCTTCCGTTGCCTGAGCTGAGCCCTCCAAGCTCTCAACATGGTAACCAGGGCAGGAGTTCTAAGTACCTATCTGAGGATGTCTGGGACTAACTGAAAATCTTTCAGTGGCTCCCCACTGAATAAAATCTACATCATTTAACACGGCCTCCCAGGCCCCGAACAAACTGGTCCTGCCTCTCCCTCCCACTGCAGCTCTGCTCGCCCCACCCCACACTCTTACACTTCAGCTCTATCAAACTTCTTGCAGTTTCTAGAGCCTGCCACCTGTGAGGATCCTTCCCTTGCCCCTCTGTGGCTCTGCATATGCTGGTCCTTGCCTCCTAGGACCCTCTGCTCTCAAGCTCCCTCCTCATCTGCCTGCATCCTTCTCCTTTGTATCTTGGTTTCAATGTCATTTCCAGGCCCATTAGCACCTCCTGCCAGCGTGGGTTCCACACAGTGAGGGGTGGGGAGGGGCCTCTGGGTGCTCAGGGGAATCAGCCCAGCCCCCACACAGCCCTCCTCACACTATCTGCTTCTTCTTGAGGCTTCTAACTCCGGGATCACTCCAGCCTCCATCTGGCCTAATCTTGCTCACTCTCCAACACAGTTTGCCCCCCACTTTTGTGTTAAGCTTAATTTAAATCGCATTTTATGTAATTGCTAAAGAAATACATATGTAATACCAGACGCTTGAAAAACAAAAGCAGAAAGAAAAAAAAACTGCACTCACGTTTCCACCAACTGCTGTTAATACTGGGTCTTCCCTTGCAGGCTTTAATCCACATTTGCTCAGCTGTGGGGGCTATTTAATTCTTCCCTACAGATGGGGTTCAACCTTGGACCTCTTGCTTCCTGGCCTATTTCCTCATAATGATGAACAATTTTTAATGTCAGGTAATGTTCTTCATAATTTTGAAAGGTAATCGAGTCCTCCACAGTGCGGATATAGGAAATGGGCTTGTAGGAATCAGAAGCTGATGCAGTTAAAAGCAGGGCCTCCCAGGGCTGGGCGGTGAACTTGTGTCCAGTTTTTCATTATTACAAACAACGCAGTGGTCACCAGTTCTGAACACACATATTTGTACTCAGCTCTGATGATTGGCGTACAGTAAATTTCTCAAGGCAGACTTATTAGGTTAAACTGCGGTGTTTTTAACTTGGGATCCCAATTGCCAAATTGCCCTCAAGAAAGGCTGTCCCAGTTTACACTCCCCACCCTCGCAGGATGTGAGAAATCCAATTTCGCCCCACCCTTGACAAGAATAACAATACGCATTTGGTATCAGCATTCTTTTTTTTTTTTGAAACCTTTGCCAATTTGTCTGGAAAACACACATAAACACACGATTTTAATTTGCATGTCTTTGATTACCAGTGAGGGTGGACATTCTCCACGTATTTGTTTTTCTATTTAGGTTTCTTTCTTTGTGTGTGCGTTGCCTGTTCCTGCCATTTGCCCAGTTTGCAAATAAGGTAGGGCTTTTTTTTTCTTACACTGTCTAGTTCTCCTACATACGGTGGATTAAAAACCATTTGTCTTTTCTACACACAAGCTGCAAATATTTTACCAGTTTCTTATTCACATATTACTTTTGTGATTAAAAAAAATCGTTGCCTCTTGAATTTTTCTCTCTGATGTTAAGATAAGCTTCTTTAAATATTCTTCCTAGAGTCCCCCATAAATCACACACAGTTTGCAAGTAGAGATGGGTGAGGGCTTTAGAGGAGGTGCTCTGTGCGGTACCAGAGAGAAGACCTCAGCTCAAGCCTGAAGTCTGGAAGAAGCATCTGGAAGCCCAATTAGGCCAGAGAATGACTCCTGAGAGCCTTACAAGTGTCCCTCATCACCTCTGACCCTTGGGGCAGAGTTTAACCAGGTGCAAAGAAAGAAGCTGCAGCCACGCCCTGCCCACCAACACAGGAAATGATGCGCAAGTTCAGTGTTACTGTGGAGTCACTCAGCCAGACAAGGGTGATGTGGGCGGCTCCGAGGGGCTAAGTGACTTACCAGCCCAGGACCACTGAGCCAGTAGTAAATGGGGCCCATTTGGCTCCTGGGCCACTGCCCCAGAGGAAAGGAGCCACATCCCTGAAAGGAACAGCTGGGACTAGACTACCGCCTGGAATCTGCACCGTTTCTACTAACACGGAAGTCAGAGGGCCTGGCATCCCTGCCCAGGGACAGGGATCTGGAAGGATGTGGGGCGCCCTTCCTCAGGAAGGGAAAGGCTTCAGGAGCAGTAGCATCTTCTGGTCCCTCTTGGAGGCGGATGCTAAGCCTGTGTCTACCTCTGTAAAGTCAGCTCCAGCTGTCCCCCCATTCTCTCCCGAGAGCTCAGCACCCCACCCCCACCCCAAGGGGAACCTTAGGCTGGTGTCTCCCTCCCATAGGCACCTGACACCAACAAAGCTTCTTCCCCAACAAGTGGTCACACAAAAGAAAGCTCAGAGGCCGAACATCAAAAGGCAGGGCTCCCCGCCCCCCGCCCTGTCGCCCTCCTCTGGGAGCTGTCAGGGGACATCAGTGGCGATTGCCCGTGCTCAGGCTTCTGCAAAGCATTTTACAGCTTGTTTTCTTTTCTCTTTGTTTTATTTTCTCTGCACAAATGGAAAAATGCACTGGGCGAAGGGGCTCACCTCTGGATCGCTCGGCCCCAACAGAGACGTCGCCCAGCTCCCAGCCTGTCCCCAACCCCTTCCTTGGAAAGACACCTTAATCCCCGATGCCTTCCTGTTTATCTCCTGCCTCTCTTAGAGGCAAAAATATTGGGTATTCGTTTCATTATCAGATTTCAAGGCGGAAAGGAGAGGGCAGATTTGTGAGAACCGAGAGGTCAGCCCAGGGGAGAAGGGAGGGCGGAGGGCAGCATGACGTGTGAGGAGCCGGCATGGGCTGCATCCTGTCCTAGGGTCCCCCAGCCACCCAGAGAGAGCTGGTCTGGTCTGGACCCCAAGCTCTGCACCTTTCTTCAGCTGTCATGTGGGGATCACCAAGGACATATCACACACGGCTGCATTTCAGACCCAGGGGCATAACACAGGGCAGGAGGTGGGAGGAGGAGAGCCCCCGGACTCCCAACCAGAAGCCTGACAGGGAAACGGGCTCAGGAGATGGGGGCCCATTTTCCTCGCCCATCTGAAGGTCCTCTAAGTCTTCTTTTAACGTATGCCTGTTACCACCATTCCTTAAGCTTTTTCAAACCTCTCCCACCAACACGGATTGTCCAACCTCTCACCACCCCCCAACGGTTCAATCAACACACATTTAGGTGCTCTGGCTTCATGCCAGGCCCTGCGCCACAGGCCATCAGAGAGACAGGGATGGGCAATGCCCTCTCAACTACCCAGGGGCTCCCAGTCTCATAGAGGGAGGGGGCAAATGTATGCTCTTGGCAGCGAACTTTTAGATAAAGCAGGACACATGCTCAGCTGTGTTGGTTCCTGGAGAACAGGGACAGTGTTTGTCCTTATGTCGTCCAGCCCAGAGCAGACCTCATTTTGTTACACAAATGAGAGAGAGGGAGCAAAAATGAGCGAGCAACACGGATGGATGGATGGATGGATGGATGGGTGGATAGATGGGTGGGTGAGTAGATGGATAAATGGATGATGGATGAGTGGGTGGGTGGGTGGATGAATGATGGCTGGATGAACGGGTAAGTGCATGGGTGAGTGGGTGGGTGGGTGGATGAAGGCGCAAGTGAGTGTTTAGGTTAGGTAGGTAGGAAAGTAGGACTGATGGAGGATTGAGCGGTCCGCCTGGATGATACCCTCCACCAAGACATAGCCTCGTGGCATTTGTGACTTTCTTTTCTTGTTGCTTTGCACTACTTTAAAC